AACAAAAGGAAACGAATAAATCATCTCATCACAATTGTGCGGATCTACAGTGTGAACCAAACCGTTATGTGAAGTAATATTTTCAACACCTTCAATTTTTGAGAGTTCGAAAGTCAACTTTTAGTAATATCAACATGATAACAATGTGAATCGATTGACACCAACGTTAAAGTCTATAGTCGTACTAGTCTAAAATTGAAGAAAGCCATCTCGAAAATCTACATATGCATAACGATGTGATATTTTTATGTATTTCTTTTTCTGAAAATTTTTATCGTTAGGTCTTTGCTGAATTGTACTCAAGTGTTAGAGAATGGTCAGAGTATTACCTCGCCCATGCGGAGTCCCTCATACTGGATGTACCAGAAGAAGACGATGAGAAGCTGTCAATAGCAATACGCCATCAGAGCTCTGTAGCTGCGAAGCACTATTAGTTCAGTCTACTATGTATTGGAGTTTCACCCGAAACACGAGTGAAAAATATATTTCACAACTACTGCATATCACCGCGAATATCGGGTTTTCACGGAGTATTACGACGCCACTTCACGTGAAACGGGTCGGGAAACTCCAGTGTTAATAATTGCTTACGATTTCAACCATCACTTCTGTTACAAAGAGCTCTTGCGTTTGAGGGAAGCCAGAGAGGTGTTGCATTTTGTTGGTGGTAAAACTGATCTTTTTTCATAGTAGTGTTGGAGGAATAAATGTTCGTTTTCCTCAGCTGAGTTTAGGAGTTTCCAAAGCTAATTATAAAAGTTTATGTATGAATTATAATAGGGGTATACAAAAACCATGGAGAAATTTTCAGAAGTTTCTTCATAATTTTGATGTTTTCGCCAACATAGACCCCTCCACACATTCTAAGCAAAAGCTTAGATACAAATTCGAGTAGGAATGTTGAGAAACCAAGAAGGATCTTCTAAAGTTTCCTCAGATTTTTCATACTGTCACCGACACATATAGATGACCATGTGCATATTTTCCTACACTGCCTGGCAGAGGCACAGTTTGATTGTATTATGCATTACTCTAGGGCATGTTTTAAAGTCTATGGGGTGAAATCAAGTGTAATAGGGTACGTTATATTGTCTATGGGGGTAAAATCAATTGCAATAGGGTACGTTATATTGTCTATGGGGGTAAAATCAATTGCAATAGGGTACGTTATATTGTCTATGGGGGTAAAATCAATTGCAATAGGGTACGTTATATTGTCTATGGGGGTAAAATCAATTGCAATAGGGTACGTTATATTGTCTATGGGGGTAAAAGCGATTATAATAGGGTACGTTATATTGTCTATGGGGGTAAAAGCGATTATAATAGGGTACGTTATATTGTCTATGGGGTAGAATCAATTGTAATAGGGTACGTTATGTTGTCTATAGGGTAAAATCAATTGTGATGGGGTACGTTATATAGTCTATGGGGGTAAAAGCGATAGTAGTAGGGTACGTTATAGTGTAATAAATTAGTGTATGTCCCTCTTAGGCGATGCTGGCAATAGGCGAGAGAGTCGCTAAGCTGTTCCAGAAAGTGATGGATTTCACGGCTACATACGAGCAGTACGTTCGAATGTATGATGAGAATGAGGGGATGAGCATTGAGGAGGACTACGGCTCGGAGAGTCGCCTCGAGGTCTATCGGGAGGGGCTTATCAAGTGAGCTCACTGGAGGGTAGTCTAGGTTGAAGTGAACATGGTACAGGTACCGGGATCAGCAGGAGAGGATTGCTGCTATGGAGCCTAGGAAGGAAATAGGCCTCTTCCGACTTGACGCCGAGGCGTTCCAGAAGACCCTTAGGCCTAATCCTGTTAAGTGTTTGGACAAACTACAGAAGTAGTAGTGGTGATGGTGAATGAGTGAGTGTGATCTGTGGAGTTGTTGGTAGGTATATACCGGAAATGGCGATGGGAAGGATACAGAACTTGTTGAAGGAGGTCAAGCGAGCTAGTGAAAGGCTGGGGACGCTCCCTTCGAACGTCGAGGAGTTCGTTCATTTCACCACCTACCTCAACCAGCTGGCTGGAGACACTATAGCGAGGGAGGCGGCAGCCGCTGCCGATCCTGATAGCCCTGCTGAGGAGGCCCCAGTGGAGGACGCTGTCGCGAGCTTCAAGGCGATGGAAGGTCGGCAGCTGGATGTGGGGGACCTGATGGAGTTGGTGAAGGAGTTTAATATTAAGACTACTTCTAAGCAGAGGACGTCCTTTATGGAGTTATCTCAAGCCTTGAGTAGTCTCAAGAGTCAGATAGAGTTCTCACGGGGGAGCACGGAAGCTAACGGGCATCGTTTCGTGAAGGTGGGTGTAATTTGGGATTGGTGTGGTATGGTAGAGAGTCTTTTAGGAATTGGAACAAGAAATTCCGGTTATGCTGGAAAGCGTTACAAAGGGATTTGAGTGGCTAAAGGATCACAAGCTCTCGGATGAGATTCTGGCCTCTTCCGAGGAGGGCCGACGGAAGGTTCTGGAGAAGCTGGAGCATATTGATAAGCATGTGGCCACAGTCAGTGTGGATGCCAAGAGGTAGAGGCGAGTCCGGTCTTGTCGGGCTTTTTCACTGGTGGTAGCTCAGGATCAACGATTATCAGGAGGTGTTGAACGTTGAAGTGACGCCGTTTGAGAAGGTGGAGGAGCTGAAGGTTGGAGACGGGAGTCTTCGTGTGTGGTGAAATGTCGAGTTTGTTAGACTCTATCGGGGAGCATATCGAAGTTGTGGAAGGGCCTGGCCGAGTGGGAGCAGATGAGCGAGCAATGGATGCGGTGGCAATTTGGTCGAGTTGATGTGGAGAAGATATCGAAAGAGGTTGCGGTGTACCAGAAGGTGGCCATGCAGAGTTTGAAGCAACTCGAGACGAATCCGGTAGCGACTAGATTTACGGCTAAGGTCGCCGCCTTCAAGAACACTTTGCCGGTGGTGATGGCGTTACGGTAGGGAGGGCGGGGCTCTCAATTTGGCGAATGGATGGTTTTCCTGTTTAGTAATTCCGCATTGAAGAAGAGGCATTGGGAGGAGATCAATGATACGATCGGTGTGGAGTTGGATTTGGAAAGTGAGGATTTGACTTTGGGAGAGTTGCTGGGCATGGGCGTCGATAAGAGCATGGACCAAATACAGGAGATAGCAGGACGTGCTGGGGCTGAACAGGTGGGAGAATTGACGACACGTTCAGGCAGTTATGGTATTGTTTTAGTCTTTGGAGGAGATGCTTGATAAAGTAAAACGAGTGTGGGAAGATCTTGAGCTTGTTCTTAACCCGTATAAGGACAGCAAGGATGTCTTCATATTGGTGGGCTCGAGAGGGGCAGGGGGTAGTTGGGGAGATATGGCTGGCTCAGGGATCGGTCGATGACGTTATCACAGCACTGGAAGATTCCTTGGTCAACATTTCGACAATTTCGGGCAGCCGGTAGGTTATTATATAACGGCATGAGGGAAATTATTGTTGACAGATTTGTTGGTCCGATACGTGGGGAAGTGGAGGAGTGGCAGAAAAATCTAATGCTCTTTCAAGAGACTCTGGACGAGTGGCTGGCAGTTCAGCGGAATTGGGTGTATGTTCGTTGAGGAGGAGCGATTTTGTTGAGGTTGGTTTTGGTAGGTATTTGGAGTCTATCTTCAGCGCGGGCGATATCAAGAAGCAGCTTCCTATCGAGTCGGTCAAATTCATGGATATCGATCAGCACTGGCGCAACATTATGAAGGAGACCAACGATTACAGTGTGGCTCTGGTGGCTGGCATTAAGCCGGGCAGGTTAGAGCAGTTCAGGGAATTCAATGAGACTCTGGATCAAATACAGAAGTCTTTGGAGGAGTACCTACATTCGAAGCGGAAAGTGGGCTTCATGATAACGTTTTGAGGAGAGGTGTTCCTGCTCAGGCCTTCCCAAGGTTCTTCTTCCTGTCCAATGATGAGCTATTGGAAATCCTGGCACAAGCCAGGAGAATACAGGCGGTCCAGCCGCATCTCCGCAAGTGCTTTGACAACCTGGTCAAACTGCGCTTCAGTGGGGATGATGACAAGGGCGGTAGAGGCTCGGGTGGTTCTGATATCGTTGGTATGATATCTAGTGAGGGAGAGGAGATTCCTTTCTACAAAGTACTGAAAGTTCGAGGGAACGTTGAGAAGTGGTTGCTGGAGGTGGAGGAGCATATGGTCAAGAGCATGCATGCTGTGATGCAGAAGGGATTCATAGACTATCCAGAACAGCCGAGGAAGGAATGGGTCGCTGAGAAGGAGGCTCAGGTCGTATCGTGTGTGGGTATGATAATGTGGTGTGCGGAGACGGAGCGAATACTGCAGAATGAGGATAAGAAGAGGGTTGTGGATGATATGAATATTTGGTATGTTGGAATGCTTGAACTTGAGGGGGGGGTGGAGTGTCTTGAATAGGTATCAGCGTAACGTCACACAATTGGAGGACCTCACGGACTTGGTCAGATCTAAGCTGTCGTCTATTCAGAGGAGATCAGTAGTAGCGCTGGTCACTCAAGACGTACACAATAGAGACATCATAGAGGACCTTTCGGAGAGTAATGTGGTCTCGACGTCGAGCTTCAAGTGGCAGCAACAGCTTCGGTAAGGGCGTTTTTGGATGTGATGGTTGAGATTCCCGTCAGGTATTACTGGGACGTTGAAGAGGATGATTGCATCGTCAATCAAGTCGATGCGGTCATCCGGTATGGGTATGAGTATCAGGGGGCAACAACAAGATTGGTTATAACACCTTTGACAGACAGGTGAGGCTTGAGTGAGGTTCGAAAATTTCCGATGCGGGGACTCGAACCCCGGTCGCGTGGGTGAGAGCCACGAATCCTAACCAGCTAGACTACATCGGAGGATGGAATGAGTGTGAAGAATCGTGGTTGTATAGCACTCTCTTAGGTGTTGGATGACCATCACCGGGGCACTGCATATCAAGTTGGGAGCTGCCCCTGCGGGCCCAGCCGGTACCGGCAAGACCGAGAGTACCAAGGATCTCGCCAAAGCGTTAGCAAGACAGTGCGTCGTGTTCAACTGCAGTGACCAGATAGACTATAAAATGATGGGCAAGTTGTACAGCGGTGTTGTTACTGCTGGGGCTTGGACATGCCTTGACGAGTTCAATCGTATCTCTATCGAGGTGAGAGGAATCAGGGGAAGGCTCGCTGGTGGGGGATGGTGTTGCTGCTGTAGGTGTTGAGTGTTATTGCACAGCAGCTACTGACCATCAGAGTGGCTCTATTGAACGACCAGTCAGAGTTTATGTTCGAGGGCTTTATGCTCAAACTCAAACGTAAGTACACATGCTTGGGAACCTCTAGCGTTGAGCTATACCTTTCTCAGCTACATGTGGAGTCTTCATTACGATGAATCCGGGATACGCTGGTCGAACTGAGTTGCCTGACAACTTGAAGGTTCTCTTCCGCCCGATGAGTATGATGGTTCCTGACTATACACTCATCGCTGAGATTATGCTCTTCGCAGAAGGTGGGTGCGGATTCGATCCCGGCACCTTGCATTTTTACATTTGACCTCAGGTTTCAGCACTGCCAAGCGGCTTTCTGGCAAGTTCACGAAGCTGTACAAGCTCTCTTCAGAGCAGCTATCCAAACAGGACCACTACGACTTCGGCATGCGAGCAGTGAAGTCAGTGTTGGTGATGGCTGGCAGTCTGAAGCGTTCTGACCCTGACCTCAACGAGGACGTCCTCTTGATTCGCGCTATGAGGGACTCTAATGTACCAAAGTTCTTAGCAGCTGATCTACCGCTCTTCTACGCCATCGTGGGAGATCTTTTCCCCGGGGTAGAGGTCCCCTACATCGACTATGGCGTTTTACGCGAGGCTGTGGATCATTCTGTTGTTACTGAAGGACTACAAGTTGTCGATGCACAGGCCAAGAAGGTCATCCAGCTCTATGAGACCTTTAACGTCAGATTTGGGGTTATGCTCGTTGGGCCCACTACTGGTGGCAAGACGGTCATCTATCGTACGCTGGCAAAGGCTCTGAGCAAGCTTCGGGCTGATGGGCATCCTGATGAGAACTACCAGACGGTTCGCTACGATGTCCTCAACCCGAAGTGCATCACTATGGGGGAACTCTATGGTGAGTTCAACGAGCTCACGCAGGAGTGGACCGACGGCCTTGGCAGCTCCTTGATGCGAGCTAATGTCGCTGATGAGACGCAAGACTGGCGGTGGACAGTTTTTGATGGTCCAGTGGATGCTATATGGATCGAAAGCATGAACACTGTCCTTGATGATAATATGACCTTATGTCTGGCTAATGGTGAACGCATTAAGCTGAAGCCCGAGATGAGGATGTTGTTCGAGGTCCAAGACCTGGCTGTGGCCTCGCCAGCAACTGTGTCGAGGTGTGGTATGGTGTATGTGGACCCACTCGATCTCGGCTGGCGACCGTTTGCCTATACGTGGCTCTACAATCACCTCCCAGAGGGCCCTCCTTACAGCACTGCAGTGCGAGAGAAGATATGGGAGCTCATGGAAAGACATCTAGATCCAGCTGTAGCGTTTATACGTCGGAATTCGTCGGAGCCCCTGACTACTGTCGACACCCAGTTGGTCTACTCCTTTTGTTTCCTATTCGAAGCTGTCCTCTCCTGGGAAGCTGCGACACTGCATGGTGCGGCTAGCTCTGACTGCGACCCTGAGAAAAACCCAATGGTGGATCTGCGCAAGTTGGACCCTGAGAACGATGAGTCGGCCAAACTGTTGGAAAAGATCATCCTGAGTACCTTCTGTTTCGCGATGGCATGGTCTATTGGAGGGTCCTGTGATACTAAGAGTCGACAGATGTTCGCCCAGTACTGCGAGCAGGAGTTCGAGTCGGTCTCCTTTCCTCGGGGCGGGAGCGTCTATGATGGTTATGTTGATTTTGCGAAGGGCAATAGGTTTTTACCCTGGGAGGACCTAGTGCCCAAGTTCACATATAAGGCGACTGATAGCTACCTCCAGCTGCTGGTACCAAACGTGGACAGTGTTCGCTTCTCATTTGTTGTTGACAAGATGCTGACTCAAGGGAAGAGCGTGTTGTTGACAGGCATGACGGGCGTCGGGAAGTCGGTCATTCTCGCGAACTTGTTGAACAAGATGAAGGAGCATTCTGGCGTTGTGCCTGTGACTATGACACTAAGTGCACAAAGCAACGCGTCCAGGATACAACTAACGATTGAGGGAAAGCTGGAGAAGAAGCGGAAAACCCTCCTTGGGGCTCCTGTGAATAAGAAGATTGTCATTTTGATGGACGACGTGAACATGCCGGCTGTTGAGGAGTATGGTGCTCAGCCTCCCATAGAGCTGTTGCGACTGTTGCAAGACTTGGGAGGGTTTTATGACAGGAAAAAACTGTTCTGGAAAGATATAGAGAACACTACTCTGCTACTGTGCGCCGCTCCGCCCGGTGGAGGCCGCAACGAGATGACTCCGAGGTTCACCCGTCACAGTATGGTCCTCTGTATGCCCAACACTTCTCGTGACGCTATGTCCGTCATCTTCTCCTCTATACTTGGCGGCTTCTTTGCGGCGTACAAGTTCAAGCCGGATGTCCAGACTTTGATCAACGCGATGGTCGGTGGGGCCATTGAGTTTTATGAGAAGATTTCTGCTGATCTTCTGCCGACTCCAGCGAAGTCTCACTATTTGTTCAACTTGAGGGATGTGTCGAAGGTCTTCCAAGGAGTTCTGATGGCGAGGCCGGCCAGCTGCAATTCGTCCGAGAAGGGCGTGAAACTGTGGATTCACGAGATGTCTCGAGTGTTCTATGATAGACTTATCAACGAGGAAGATCGGAAGTGGTATGTGGAGACTCTGCTGGACTTGGTCAAGCTGAAGTTCCGAACGGACAAGATGCGAGCGGATGACTTGTTTGGTGCGACGCCCTTGATGTGGGGAGATTTCCTCAAGCCTGGTGCTGACAATAGTGTTTACGAAGAGATCACCGACCTGGGCAAAATGGCGAAGATTTTGGAAGATTATAACGACGAGTATAACCTCTCTCACTCGACGCCGATGAACTTGGTCTTTTTCAAGGATGCTATGGAGCATGTTGCTCATATATCCCGGGTGTTACGGCAAGAGAGGGGCAACCTGTTGTTGGTGGGTGTCGGGGGTAGCGGAAGGCAGTCCTTGGCCAGGTTGTCGGCGAGCATGGCGGAGATGGGCGAGTTTGAGATTGAACTTACTAAGGGCTATGGTGTGGATCAGTTCAGAGAGGATGAGAAGGCGTTCTTGATTGGGTCGGGATCTGCTGGGGGAACGCAGACGCTGTTCCTTCTGAATGACACGCAGATCATCAGTGAGACGTTTTTGGAGGATATCAATAACGTCCTGAATGCGGGAGAGGTTCCCAACTTGTTCGCGGCTGACGAGATGGATAGAATCGTTGGGGATCTACGACCTGTCGCAAAGGAAAACAACAGGAGTGAAGCCAAAGATGCTGTATGGAACTACTTCATCGAACGCATCAAGGAGAATCTGCATATTGTCCTTGCAGTTAGTCCTGTTGGTGACGCTCTGAGGATCCGAATGCGAATGTTCCCGAGTTTGGTCAACTGCACGACCGTCGACTGGTTCCACCCTTGGCCGGATGATGCTCTGTCTTCGGTGGCAACGAGGTTCCTTGAGAAGATCGAGGCTTTGGATGAGACAATGAAAGCTAGCCTTGCCCAGGAGTGTGTTGTTGTCCATCAAAGTGTATTGCGATGGAGCGATATTTTCCTTGAGAGGCTGCGGCGGCACGTGTATTCAACGCCGAAGAGCTACCTTGATTTAATTCATCTTTATACGGAAATGCTGAGTGAAAAACGCGAGGAAAAAATGAAGGTCCAGAAGAGGCTAGTGGTTGGCCTGGATAAACTGCAAGAGGCGAACTCGGTGGTCAGCAGCTTGCAGGAGGAGCTGACGGCGCTGCAGCCCATCTTGGCACAGAAGAAGGTGGAAACTGATGAACTCATTGTGGTCGTTACGGAGGAACGTAAGAAGGCTGACGAAGTGGCGGCGAAGGTTGCGTCTGAGGAGGCTGTTGTAAGGGAGCAGGCGGAGACGGTCCAGGCGATCCAAGCTGATGCCCAGAAGGATCTCGATGTTGCTATGCCTGCCCTGGAGAAGGCTATTAAAAGTTTGGACGCCCTAGACAAGAAAGACATCACTGAAATCAAGACGTTTCCCAAGCCGCCAGCGCTGGTCATGATGACGATGGAGGCTGTGAACACACTCCTTGGTACGGTGACGGTTGGGAGGTATCATTAGCTGTCTTGGTGTGTTAGGTGAGAAACCAGACTGGGATACAGCGAAGAGGGTGCTGTCGGACAGCCAGTTTATGACGAAGTTGAAGGAGTACGACAAGGACAACATTCCTGCTAACGTTCTCAAGGTGACGATTCTGCTGTGAACCTCGTTGGTCGGCTGATGCTGTTGGTCAGAAACTGGAGAAGTACATCCAGAAGCCGGAGTACGCGCCGGACTCTGTCGGGAACCAGTCTAAGGCGGCTAAGTCGCTGTGTATGTGGACTCACGCTATGGACATGTAGACAGGAAACGATGGATTTGGAGGGCAGCTGAGTGGTGTAGGTATTCGAAGGTGGCGAAGACGGTGGAACCGAAGAAGAAGCGCCTTGAGGAGATGAATCAGCAACTAGCTGAAGCAACTGGGGTCATTCGACGGTGTGTGGGTGTTGCTGGAAGCTTGTCCTCAGATTCTGGCCGGCAAACAGAAAGACTTGAAGGCGATTCAGGATAAGGTAGCGGCACTGAAGCGGAAGCTCGACGATACTGAGGCGGAGAAGGACCGGTGACGACGCTTGTTGTTGGGATGATGGATCTTCGACTGCCGTGTGTCTCACAGGCTTATCAAAGAGGCTGAGCTCACACAAGCTCGACTGCAGCGTGCGGAGGTCCTCACCGTGGGTCTTGCCGGGGAATCGGTAAGTGTCTGTGTGGACGGATGTGGGCATCAGCGGTGCTTTTGGTAGGTGCGATGGAAGGAGACTGTCGAGAAGATGGACGTCGAGATTGAGGCTCTCACTGGTGATGTGTTCCTCTCGGCTGCGGCCATCAGCTACTTTGGCTCTTTCACTGGACAGTGAGTTAGAGACCGGCGTTGGAGGTCGGCATTGCTTCACGGTAGATACCGACGGGAAGTGGTCGGCGAGTGGTTGAGTAACATGCAGAAATTGAACATACCCTGTTCGGAGACCTTCAGCCTCGTTGCCGTCATGGGCAGCCCTGTGCAAGTACGAGAGTGGAACCTGCAGGTGGGCTTAGTCTTGAGAGGCCCGGCGGGACTTGGGCTGTACTCAGGGCCTACCGTCGGACAGTGTGTCGCTGGACAATGGGGTTTTGGTTACTCGGGGGAAACGGTGGCCGTTGATGATCGACCCACAAGAGCAAGCGAACAAGTGGATCAAGAAGAAGGAGGGCGCCGAGGGCAGCTCGGGCCAGCTACAACTGTTGAAACTGGGCAATCCGAAGTTGTTACTTATAGTAGAGAACGCTATCCGCATGGGTGACCCTCTTCTCATTGAGGATATTGGGGAGGCTCTGGACCCCTCTCTGGAGCCAGTACTGCAGAAGGCTGTATTCAACAACAATGGCAGATTGCAAATTCATCTTGGCGACTCGGATGTGGACTACAACCCGGACTTCAGGTTGGCGCTTTTCAGTTCTTCGGCAGCTTTTGTATTGTGTTCATAGATTCTATATGACGACGAAGTTGCCGAATCCTCACTACTACCCTGAAGTTTGTATTAAGGTGGGCGGATGGGGACCGAGTTTTAATGGAAACTGATTGATTCCAGGTTACTGTTATCAACTTCACTGTGACGTTCGAGGGTCTCGGTGAACAGCTGCTGACGCTAGTGGTAGAGGCGGAGCTACCGGAAGTGATGCGGAGGAAAACAGGATTAATGATGCAACTTGACAACGACAAGAGGACCCTGCAGGGCCTCGAGGACGAGATCTTACGACTCTTGAGTGAATCACAGGGGAATATACTTGATGATGAAGTGCTGATCTCGACCCTGCAACGAAGTAAAGTGACGGCGAAAGACATTGAGGAACGGGTTGCCGACGCTGAGGTGGGCCGGGATGGTCACTGTGAGGAGCTCGGTGGTATGCTGACTAGCAGGTCACCAAAGTTGAGATTGAGGCTGCGTGCAACAAGTATTTATCTGTGAGCGAGCGAGGCAGCATCTTGTGGGTGTTTGATTTTACATCGCTCCGCTCAGTGTCGCTGATTACTAGGTATTTCGTGGTTGCTGATCTGGCCAACATCGACCCGATGTACCAGTTCTCGCTGTTTTACTTTGTAGGAGGCTCTCTTGGTGTCGTCTCTTATTACTGCTTTCTACTAGGTCCGCATGTTCTTGTTCACGATCCACAACGCGGAGAAGTCGGATGATCTCGACACGCGCTTGCAGACCCTTATCACTGGTGAGGGGATGGTATGTGAGCTTCCCTGAGCACGATCATTGTTGGCAGATGTGACCGAGTACGTCTTCAAGTTGGTGTGTCGAGGACTATTCGAGGTTCATAAGCTCATCTTTTCCTTTTTGATACAAAGTCAAATAGATCGGCATGCTGGTCGCATCAACAACGTCGAGTGGGGCTTGCTTCTGAGAGGTGGGACTCGGGCGCGAGAGGGAGCGAGTTATGTCTTGGCTCAGGTGTTGGCATCCAAGATGTGTCGGCCCGGCCGGGAAATCCGGACGTTGATCTGATACCCGAAAAGCAGTGGCAGTTGCTATATGCTGTGCAGCAGCGCATACCACAACTCAGTGACATCTGCGCTCACGTTACGAAGAATATCGACGTTTGGCGACAATGGTGTTGTCATGAGAACCCTCATCTCAAAGACCTGCCTCTGGACTATGAGCACACAAGTCAGAGTTGGCCGTAACGTTCGGAAGGTAATCGAAATTGTTGTCAGGACCACCGTTGGAGAGGGAAGAAGATGAGGAGGCGGAGCAGGAGGGGGAGCCAACGGAAGCGACGAGTCTGAGGTGAGGCTCGGACTGTCCACTGTGGGTGACTAGCTGTGGTAGTTACTTCCGGAAATTGTTGCTGTTGAAATGCCTGACTCCCGAGAAAGTCCTCTTCGGCGCGGCAGAGTACGTGAGAAGGTCCCTAGGGGAGAAGTATTGCATCTTCGCTACGCCTATGATGGAGGAAGTCTTCGCTGACTCGTCCCACACGACTCCGATCATTTTCGTAGGCCTATTAGTGAGAAGGTTTTTATCATTGGGTTGGACCCCTTAGGTGCTGTCGACGGGCGCCGATCCGACTCAGATGTTATTGAGGTTCGCTGCGGCTGAGGACTACGAGTCTAAGCTACATATAATATCGTTGGGCCAAGGCCAGGGACCGAGGGCCCAGAAGCTTATGGAAAAAGGGTGGGCAGCTGAGTGGTGGAACGTATCATAGGTTCCCCTCGGTTAGATACAACGAAGGTCTATGGGTGCTCCTGCAGAACTGTCACTTGGCCAAGTCGTGGATGCCGTCGTTGCAGCGACTGGTTGAAGCGATGGAAGGCAATGCTATGATCAACCCACAGGTGCTGACCGTGGCAGCATGAAGAGGAGCTCGATCTGGATCGCGCTCTCAGTTCCGTCTGTTCCTCACCTCTATGCCGGCCGACTACTTCCCAGTACCGATACTGCAAATTTCTGTGAAGCTCACCACAGAACCTCCCAAGGGTAGGATAGATGCTCACGTATGTTCTCATGCTTACTTGTAGGTCTACGGGCGAACGTTAAAAGAAGTCTGATCGCTCTTGATGATGAGACGCTGAACAAATCCAGGAAGGCATCAGCTTGGCGAAGACTTCAGTTCTCGTTGAAGCTCTTCCACGCGGTGGGCTGAATCTGCTGTTTTCGGTGGATATGGTTATGGTCGGCGTTCTTAGGTTATTCAGGAGCGGCGGAAGTTCGGACCCCTCGGGTGGAATATCCGGTATGAGTTCAACGACTCGGACTTGGAGACATCCACTGTCATTTTGCACAACATGTTGGAGCTCGAGGACCCTGAGATCCCTTGGGACACTATCAGCTTCGTAGTCGGACAGGTGACGTCTTGCTGTGGATCGCTCCGCCCCTCATAGTTGTCATTTTCAGATCAACTATGGTGGGCGAGTGACGGATGATTGGGATCGGCGATGCCTGATGGCCACTCTCGGCCGCTTTGTCACTAAGGACATCATGGAGGAAGAAGACTATGCTTTTTCGGCCAGCGGTGGGCTTGCCATCCTAGGCCTCTGAGGAGTGGTTCTTATAGGAACCTACCGATTACCTGACAATGTTGACGAGGCTCCAGTGGCTGGGTTCAGAAAGTACGTAGATTCTTTACCGTTGTCAGAGGTGGGAAGATATACGTATTGCTGTTCTCTACTTTGCTCGCGGCTTCTGTAGGCTCCTGAGATCTTTGGTATGCATGAGAATGCGAATATATCATTCCAGCAACAGGAAAGTGACGTGATCATCAACACAGTGTTGTCGATCCAACCCCGAGAGTCGGGGGGAGGCGGCGGCCGGAGTGCTGACGAGATCGTCTACGAGCTCGCCATGCAAATGATCGATAGGCTGCCTGAGCCCATCACAGAGGCTTCGGCTTCTCCTGGTGTGTTTGCTGTGAATGACCAGGGGATGATGGGAAGTCTAGGTGAGATGAAAGTTCTTAGCGGAGCGATGCAGACTGGTGCTGTAGGAACCTGTCTGTCGCAAGAGATGAGTCGATTCAATAAACTGATCGGTCGGATGAAGAAGACTCTGGAGGAGCTGCAGAAAGCTATCAAAGGCCTCATCGTCATGACGGCTGACCTCGACGCGATGTTCAGCGCCTTGCAAAATAACTATGTATGAACATTCGGTTGAGTCGCCATTATTGTTGTAACAGATACCTTCGTTATGGGAAGCTGTTGCATATCCTTCATTGAAGCCACTAGCCTCATGGTTTGAAGATATGATCAGTAGCCTCTGGCGATGTTGACCGTACAGTAGGGGCCGTTTCAGATCGAGTGGAGTTCTTCCGAGACTGGGTCGTCAATGACCAGCCTGTCGCCTATTGGATCAGCGCCTTCTATTTCCCTCAAGGCTTCCTCACAGCGGTAAGCTCCGACTCTAACATTGAATGGCCATGGCCCCTCAGGTGCTGCAAGCCTACTCCCGTTACTATATGGTACCTGTTGACATTCTCGGCTTCGAATTCGTCGTTCAAGATTTTGACGATCCCCTCAATGAAGTTGATGAGCCTCCTACAGAGGGTTGCCTTGTCTATGGTGAGGGCTTTGATTACTCGCTCCCCTGCTGACATGGCTCAGGTCTTTACATGGATGGCTGCCGATGGGACTATGAGGAGATGGTCCTTGAGGACCAGGAGCCCGGTAAGGCACCGCTGAGGTCTGCTACTGCTGTTGTGATGTGTTCGTTGGTAGGCGTCATGTACGTTAACGCTCCCACGATACACTTCTTGCCCTGCAAGAACTACAAGATTGATCCCGAGCAATACTCCTGTCCACTGTATAAGACCAGCGTTCGCGCAGGTAGGCTTTTCATCAGCATGTTAACTGGTTATAGGCGACGGTATAGGTACACTGTCCACGACTGGGCATTCTACGAATTTCGTATTGGCTATCGAGATGGACACTAATATGCCTAAGGACCATTGGGTGCTTAGAGGAGCTGCTCTGTTGACCATGCTCAATGACTGACATGTTGTTATTGTGCTGTGCCTATGTCCTGTGAGATGTGTTGATAGAGTAAATAAAGTTGAAGGCCACATCGAAGCATTCATTTCATCACGGGTCATCACCAGAAAGCAAAGGTTGAACTTGTGACAGGGCGGTATAACTAGATGTAGCAATAGACTCGTCAATTGGTATGTCACGATACTAAGTCTGCGTGTTCTACCAGTGGCGTATTGTCATTTGCCTACGATCGATGGCTCAATGCCTCATACTAATAATGAAATCACAGTACTGTGCATGTACCACAATTGCATGAGACTGTAGGGACAGTAGGAGGAAGTTGCAACGTATAAGAGCCATCATCATCATCATCTGTAGCAGCAATAGGCTAACGTGACACCTGTCGAGGGTGCTCCTCAGCCTTGTAGGTCTCACAGTATCGAATGATTACGGCGATAACCCTTTTTTCATCGCGTGATGGGCTTACTAGGGGAGGAGCTCACAGGGGATGGGCTTACAGCACTCCTTATAAAATCTACCCAGTGTAGGTCCCTCATCGAATGAGCTCGCTGGCCACGAAATTCACCTGACAGTTCGTGTTGCCCGAGAGGTACCTTGCGGACCTGCATTGTTTCTTCCTTATCGCCACGTGATCGTGATTTCTGATCGAATATATATTGGGCGCGCGCTTTTTACATTTATTCTCATCGAGCAACCTCTGATTCGCAAAATTGTTGAGTTGTAGGAAAAGTGTGAAATGTGACAGTCTCTTCTATAGACTCGTAATCAGAATGAGAATGCGTATCCAAGGTTGTATCTTGGAAGATGCAAAACAGGTCCGATTTAAGGCCATGTTGTCCTCTGCAGGGTTTACCCTTTACTGTTTTATACCCCCAAACTGTCCCACTATGATTGACGACAACCGAAGTAGATTTCTCTCTCTGTCTTCCCCTCACCCACCCGGTATCTTTTCTCAGAGATCGGCATCGGGCTGTGCCTCCTGGGCCTCGTATGCTTCTTCTTGGGCGTTATATTCTTCTTCGATAGAGCATTGTTGGCTTTAGGAAATGTAGTATTGGGATCGGAACTCACCTCTGATTTTCCCCTTACCACTCCCTCGCCAACTCTCATGGATGTACAACATGCTAACGAGTACACTCTATTCGGAGTATTACTACGTATTGCATATCTTTATATGACAGCATGAATCTGTGAATGTTGTAGCCATAGGTAAATCACGGTTGGACAAAATCTCCTATAAAAACCCCCCTTCTACCTCAGTAGAGTGTACTTGAGAACTTTCTCTCGGTCAGATGGCGTTCCTTGTGGGGCTTTCGTTCTTGCTCGGTATACACAAGACGTCGCGTTTCTTCCTTCGGAAAGAAAAGGCAACAGGTAGTAGTAGTAGTAGTAGTAGTAGTAGTAGTAGTAGTAGTAGTAGTAGTAGTAGTAGTAGTAGTAGTAGTAGTAACATTCTGCGTCCCGTAGCATCGCCTCTCTCTCCCCTTAGGTTCGGTATGTTTTTTCGCTGGTTTCGCCCTGGTCATCTACGGCTATGCATTTGTCGGCTTTCTCGTGGAGGCTTACGGCTTTTGGAAATTATTTGCGTATTATTCTGCTGGTCAGTCGCATTGAAAAGACGCCTATATTTCAGAGCTTTCCTTCCCAACGTAATGCACTCACTGAAGTTGATACCGGGCGTTGGCTTCATACTCAGCGTGCCGCCTCTGAAATGGGTACTATAAGGGATTGACGCTAAGCTGTTTCGGATAATGCCGTTTTCAGGTTGCAGACTATGCTTACGATCAGCGAAGACTTCCGTTGTAAGTGCATCGTGGATTGTCACCGAGCTGGGGTGGTGATTGCAGTGTTATCGATCATCATCATCATCATCATCATCATCACTGAGGCACATTGAGCAGCGGCCCATCGTCGGCGTCCCATTATAGCTGTACATTTGTCATCCTCATCGTCGTAGTTGGTGATAGTAAGCAGCGATGCTTCGAAAGGTGGAGCAGTAGTATTACTGGGAGTCGGGTTGGTAAATTAGGAGTATCCAATGGTTGGATAGCGGAAGATTCAGAATAGGCCCAAGATAGTGCCACGGAGAATATTCGTGCTGTTTTCCGTTCTTGGAGTACAATGAATGCTATCGACGGAGTTAAGGGCACTCAACAACATCAGTGGACACTGCCGCCCCCCCAGAGGGAACGTTGGGAATCTCGACGTCTCTTTGAGTGGATGGTCGTCAGTGATGTCATTTGTGATCTCTCTGGCGAATCCGTGACAGCAGTGGCGCCTCTGAGGTGTCCCATCGTTTTTTCGGTGAGAAGGGGTAAGATTGCCGACAATTCTCTTCGCATTCAACACTGTAGGCGTCTAGTGATAGCAGGGGTTGTGTATATCCCAAGCAGGAGGTATAAAATTCCGTTATGGAGATCATATGCAGATTCTTCCGGATGAGATGATCTTTGTTGTGTTACGACCAGGGGAGGGTGCGGCCTTTCAAAGTTGGTCGTTCAGCAATGACAGTCACAAGTGCACCATTTGATCCATGGTCGTATATAGGTAGACGAGCTGCTTGGAGGAGCACCACTGAGGTTGTAGTTGTAGATAACGTGCCTGGCGTCGAGGTCATGCCCAAGTACCGGGGCCCAGCAGTTAGCCCTGCGGTTCGCCACTACCGCCAACTGCTGGCGCAGAACGAAGTGGCCTATCAACGGAGTGTGACCGGAACTCGGAGTGCTATTGAGCGACCAAGGGTTGCTCGAAAACCAGAAGGAGAGGGTTCGGCAGGGATCACTGCAGCATCGTCCTCGTCGTCGTCGTCCAGGTGATGAAGGATTCCATGACTTGATGCATGTGAAGTTCAGGCGCAGATCTAGTTCGGTGTCGCACGCCAGCTCAAAATCGTCTCGAGTGGCCAGCAGTAGATGTCCAAGTATTAGGGCGACCCTTGGGGGCTCGCGAGTAGAAGATGGGTAGCGATGAGTCATCGTCGTCGTTGAGCTGGGATCGGGCATCTTCATCGTTCAGAACGTTGAGTTCGGTGGAGTCGGCGCAGGCTGGGAAAACTCGTGAAGAACTTCGTAAGCTTAGGCATACCACTCCTCGGCCACATCCTGATTGATCAGGCCTGATAGCGGGCATCCCAACAGTAGTCGACTTCCCATATCAGTGCAGTGTGGGATGGAAACCGAGGTGAGCCCCCAAGGGTGATGAGAAGAAGTTGTTTCCGCAGAGCACCGAATCGACCAGCACAATACTCGTTCAATCCCATACGCCACACTGTGGATAAGTTCATCGTTGATGCAGCGACAGGCGAAATGCGGCAATACAAAACGAAGCGGACGACCAACTACTTGGAGGTTGGTATTCTGGGAAGTGTCCAGCGAAGTGTTGCTCTTAGGCTTCGGCATGTGACGCTGTGGCATTCAATAGGAAGAAGGGGGTTGTTGAATGGAGTGACCTGCAGCATCGTACCAACCCACGGTGGAACAGGGCGTGAGCAGTACTTGACTGGAAGTAAGAGAGAATGCTCCTATTCAGATACCACCGAGACTTTACCAAGAACGGTAGAATGTTTCACCGAATCACTGGTGGGTGGTTCGTGATTCGTCGGTTGGAATGCCTCTTGCGAACAGGTCCGATGTGCAAGATGTACGATATTGCAGCACGCAATAAGGAGCCGAACCCTCTACGTGTTGGAAGGTGAAGTGCCTTGCTTTCCCCCATGTTGGTCATCGTCGTTGTTCGTATCACTTCTGTTGCGTTTTGGGAAATAGTTGGGGGGATTGCATCAACCTGAAAGACCGTCAGACTCAATGACAACGAAACATCATAAGAGCCAACTCCCTAAAGCAGCGGATTTCTCGCACACTGTAAGCCGCTAAACTCTCGAGTGAGGGAAGTACGCTTCTGCTCAGCCAAGCAAGAACATCTCATGGGAGAGGCTGATGGCTTTTCTGAACCCAGCCCGTCTTGAACACCCTCACATAGCGCAGCGCTTAGCGCTCTTCGCTTTGTAAGTGTCTCTCCCCTAGTCGGAACAGCAACACCACCTTCTGTTTCAGTTATGGGCCATCGGACGAGGATGGATTTCTTAGGTATACAAATTTTGGACATTTCTTAGTACTTTGAGTTCTTCAGAGGTGGCTATCTTGGCCGTCACAAAGTTACTGACTTCGAGATCAATAGAATGGCGCGGGAATGCTACGAGACGGAGCTCGTGAATATTCTAAATAGGCCCAAGGTGGGTTGGAGCCTCGGAAGGGGGATGCTCACTGAGGGTCTCAGGATACGCTCATGGTCATCGTAGCGGAGCTTTTGCCGAAGGCCCTCGATCTTGAATATACGGAAAAGGACGTGGAGACACTACTGGCGCGCACTACGAGGGATTCCGACGGTCACATGCAATTTTCGGACCTCCAGCCGTAGGTGGACCGGCAGCTAGCTTGACCGCGCATCGACTTCGTTCAGTGTTATAATCAACGATTTCCAGCGGAGGCTTCGGGGGGTGATAGAGAAGTCACGCAGCTCAGCCACATCACACAGTAATGGATTGCCCTACCAGAGTGCACAGGCCAGTCGCCTGTAGGTTACGTGATGTTTCTAATGACAGCTCCCTTCTCTCAGGGCTGCAGTTAGTCGAAAAAAGAAGCTTCTGCCGAATCAGGAATTCGAGGTTTTGTCGAGCAAGCTCCACCGCGGTGCGACCCTGGTTGCCCCGTTGGAGGACCAGAATAGATCGGTATCTTTATCGGCTAATGTGAGGTCCACCAGACAGTGATGATATAATTCGTCATTCAAAGGTGCAATTGATTCGAAGGCTGGGCCCAACCCACGACCGTTGGGACCGCTACTGCGCCTTACGCCAGGGCGCTGCGCTGACTGGTCACAATCAACGCCTTGCGAAACTACGTGCTCCATGATTTATGTCTTGCAAACGATGTGTTGTTTTTTGAGTACTACTACTAACACGAAGCCAGGGAGAGGTGAAAAAAGAATAACGTGTCACTCTAGCAACAAGCGGGTTAATCGACAATATTGGCAGCCCCCAGTGCCACAAGGAGATCGGGGTCGAGCTCAGTATGGAAGCGCGGATCCGCATCCTCGAAGGCAGCATACACGGTGTCCTGTACAATAGGCATGCGACTGGCGCCTCCCGCGAAGACGACGTCAGAGACGTATCTGAAGGAGCGGCCTCAACATGAACGGTTGGTGACACCTCACTCGGGGTCTAGCATAACCAACCGCATACTGCGATGCATCGTGTCGTATATTCGGTCCAATAGTTCGCTGGCTGCCTCGGCAAACTCGTCTCGGGTGATGAGTTGACCACCACAGACAGTCGTATTCTCCCGTACTGTAAGCTCTCTTTTCACCCTCTCAGCCATCACATTCGAGTAACTGCGTTCGACAAGCTGTTGAGGTATACATTCAAGTCACGTCGGTACTGTTCAGGATGATCCGGATTCTGCCGTTTGCATTTCTGGTTGATGAGCTTGGCTAGCACTCTGTCAAAGTCCTGACCGCCCAGCTGCTGATCTCCTGATGTCGATAGGACCTGCGAATGGGCCCTCTGATGAGCATTCACAACGCTCAGACCTACGTTGATGCTGCCAGAGAATGTGGCTACTTGCAGCACTGAGACATCCAGGGTCCCTCCGCCGAGATCGAAAACCACCACAACACGAGAGCTCGCTCCACCTGACCGTTGATGAAGATTGTAACTGAAGACAGAATGACAACACTGAAGTACCTCAAAGAACGACTCACGCCACTGCTGCTGCCACTGGCTCGTCGATCAGTCTGGTGACTGTGAGACCGAGCTCCTCGTACACCCGTCGAGTAGCGTCCCTCTGAAGTTGATTGAATTCCACCGGCACGCAAATGACAACCTTCTTGGAAGCTCCCGAGCTGCCAACGATTGCTTCAACCTAGAACGAGTGTAGCAGTGGTTATAATCACCTGGAAGACCTACCGATTTGAGCAGCTCCTTCACCACTTGAACGCCCACATCCACAGGCGACACTGACAATGTACCGTTAAGCACCGAGAAGAGCACCTCATCTGTAGAGTTCGGCGACGGCACCACTTTGAATGGATGAGCATCGGAGTCGGAGGACCTGCACGTTGACTGCTGATACCAGCGAGCAACGTCGCCGTCCTACACCTCCTCAATTCCCTTCCCTATGAATCGTTTAGCATGGTAGATCGTATCCTCCAGGAACAGTTCTTGCCGTGTCACCGCGGCGTCACCGACAGCAGCAGTCCCATTCGGGAAGTAGCTTACTATTGATGGTACAAGAGGCGAGTCTGAACATGACCCAACTTCCTACAGTCTCAACAGGAGAGGGGGGCACCCACTCGTTGAATAATGGTTCACAACAGTAGGGCTGACCGATTTCTCAGCATCTGCCGGCTTTATCGCCGCTACAGAAAACGACGTACCGAGATCAATACCGACGACCTAAAGGAGTCATGATAGCAGTGGCCAGGGGGCTCCCTACGTAGCTCGGCGAGCGGTAACCAAAATGGGCGAGGACGGCTGACAGCGCTGCTATGAGCACAGCCACAACAAACACGGCCTGGGGTTCCAACATTGTGGAACAAAAAACTACTACTGGGCAGAGTAACAGTCGGCGAACGAGACATCACAACGACGTGAAACGTGAGAGGAACGTATAGTGGAGGCAATCATAACTCTCTGAGCTGCTCCCATGGGGGCTTCGGAAATGCATTACGAGTAGCGAGGACCAGAGTCCTTAGCTCATATGAGATGTAGCCCTGAACTCAGACGATCGACTGCCGAGATGGAAGTTCACAGGCATCTTCTACCTTGCAATAACCATAGAGCAGGAGCCGCGCTACAATGCCTTCAGCATAGGTATCACAGACGTGACCATCCTCATCATCTTCACTCACTCTCAAGGCCGCTGTGAGCACCGATACAGGCACTTGATTCGAGCCGTATATCGTCATAGTACGCTCCAGTAGATTCCTACTCGACACAATGTAGGCGTCTCCGGATAGGATCACCGCTCACCTGTAAACGCACCATACAAGCATGCCATCGAGGAAGAATGGTAATATCTGCCGTCCAGTGCCGGCATCGTCATCGAGGCTGAGAGCCTCCGTCCGACAACGCTGAGAGGAAGCACCTTCGTAACATCAGAGAGCCATACGATGAGAAAACGGACGTGTACTCGGTGGTCCATAGTAACCCTCATACTATCTGACCGTTTGCGAATCTCGTGAATTGCGACGAACTGTATGGTTGCTAATTTCACCGGAAGGTATTGCGGAGTGCGGGATTCGAACCAGGGCGGTCCGCACAGCAACTCAGAAACATCACTGAGAATTATCCGACGACTATGTTACAAGCGAATAGACGATACAAGAGCAGTAGAATGCCGCCCTGTTCAATACGCGATTCACTCCGACGGTATGAGTATTTGCGTCCGCGCATAGATGTACGGACGCATACACAAACATGAGCCCTGCTCGCTCCTCAAATAGCAGTGATCAACATTACTTCGTATTCTGCAAGGTTGCCCTGCCTGATGGCCCTCAACAACGGTGCCCACCGTGCCGTACTGATAAGAATCAATTCACATGCTGTCCACCTCCACCAGACACCCCTACAGCTGGTTCCTCTCGAGCAGCTCCTTCGACGGCAATATCCCCTTCCTCACCTTGCAGGGTATAAGAAGGTTCAGTATACGCTGTTTGGCATGGATGTGACCGTCCGGACAGTATCTGAGGGACCAGGAATGGCCCTCACACTGCTACGACGACAGCCCCTACTTCAGGGCGTCGTCGAGTCGATGCTCAGCATCAGGCAGACGAGACTGGAAGAGTCTATGCCGGGCCCAGAAGTACTGAGTCTTCACTCGTATGGAGTTCGGGCAGAGGCTCAGGTACCTCTCATCGACGTTCCTACCGAGGAGCATTCAACCACAGCGGTTGGAAGATCCAACCGACCTCAAGATGGGCTCCAAAGCTGCGGGTTGCTCCATGGCAGTACATATCTGCATGATCTCTACCAACACTACAAACAGACCAGGCATGAGGGCTTTGTCATAACGAGTGTCTCGACGTATTCGTATGAATCTGATCGAAGGACTCAGACGGTCATCGAGATGCACGCCAGTCCGACTCTTCTCGTAGAGCATCCAAAGCCCTCTGTTGATAGCGATGGTAATGCGAGCCGCCGCCTCCTCCGCTACTCCCCATCGGACCTTCACACACAAGTTACCGCTACAGTAGCAACGACCATCATACTACCATCATCAGCATCAGACTCCTCGCTACTACCAGACACCCTATGGTGAGAGTCGAGATACTTTGTGAACCTACTCGACACCTCCTACTATCCTCAGCACAGTCGAGATACTTCCTGGTAAACGCTGCTACTTCTTGTAATACCGGCAACAGGATCGCTATTCGATGCATGTTACTGAGGCCACAGCTTCCACTCCGGCATGCATCTATGGTTGTATTATTACTCGTCCTTCTCATCCACCTCCGCAGAGCTGCTGATGTCCGAATCACTCGGCGAGGCCATACTGCTGCTGCCACCCGCTGTGAAGCCGTTGTTAGGTCCCAACTCCCCTCGGTATACATCCGCTATCTCCCCTATGAGTGATGCCTACTACTGCCGCTAGAGCGACTCTCCGAGGCTTACGAAGGAGCTTGAGAATATGCGCTACGGCATCAGCGGCGCCTCTTCCACTGTCGAGCACAACAGCGATCCTCTTGGACGAGAGCATCGCCAACTTGACAGTGTTAACAATAAAGGAAGGGTACTCCGCGAGCTCCTGGCCGCTGAGGAGGCACGACCATCAACTTCGTTATTGGCTCGGAAGAGGCCATTACATGACGGTTTTGAGATGATAGTCCGAGTCCCTCTGAAGGCCGCCCAAACCGTGGAGGACCGCTCGCATCGCTTGTCGAGCTGCATTGCCTGACACCCAGAGCGTGGTGATACTATCATCATCGACTGAGCCGAGGGAAAATGAGTCATCCAGAGTTCCACGAGGATGCTCTTACTACAACATGACGGTGTTAACAACATGCTTGAATCCATACGAGTGCTCCCATCATCCTTCGCCCTAGGCAAACCCTCTCAAACAGGATCGTGTTAGACAATTCTCAACACATTGGTGTGTCCCAGCCTCCCTCCTGCCCCTTTTGAACGTGAAGCGTCTCACCTTGATTATTATCCTCCTCTGTTGCCCAGTCCAATGAGCTCGCCAACTGCTCTACATAGTCCGCCAGTGTCGCCTCGTCCATACCCACAGGGTCGAGGAACCGAACAAAAACCACTACGACCGACGAGTCCTCATGCGCCGGGCCTAGGGCGCCACCCGCTCAGGTGAATCCTTTCTCCAAGGCCTATACCCTATGCAAGATATGCCAGCGGTCAGATTATTGTTAAATACACTCTGTAGAGTTTTCGCCAACTCCCGACACAAATCAATTCTCAGGCAAGGAGGATATACAAACAGCCGTGTAAATTCAAGATGATACCCATAGACCTTCCCCAGTAGAAAGGATAAGTATTGACTCATCCGACTGTGACAGAGGAGAGAAGATGTATACGACTCGCTGTGCACAACCACAGTGGACTATTCCGAAGAACTAGTGAGATCCTGGCTCTATGGGTCACGGGTTCAAATCTCCCCCCAGACATTTCTCCCATCCTACTATTAACACAATAAAACGATCTTAGCAGAAAATGCCAATTTTAATGGCGGGAAAAACAGAAGTCTTCTGAGTCAGAAGTTCTGACTCTCACGCATAATAAAGCACTCGGAGAAATGAACATAAATAAATATATACTCCGATCACTTCGGTTAGGGTATGGAAAACATATACATTTACCAAGGAACGCATTTAGTACACCTCGGGGCAATAACGGTCATTCTCGGCAAGGTCTTCGAATATCTCCTTAGCCTTCTCCATGGAGACGTTCTCACCCTTAGCGATGGCACGATAGACGGCACTCCTGATGTCGTTCTCAACCTGACCAGCCTGTCCGCAAAGATAGAAGTAACCACCCTTCTTAATGAGATCCTCATAGATACGAGAGCTGTTATCATCGATCTTGTTCTGCACATAGACCTTCTCCTTCTGGTCACGCGAGAATGCGGGATGAAGCTCAGTGATGGCACCCTCCTCAACGAAGCTCTCAAGCTCGTTACCAAAGATGTAATCCTTGTTCTGATGACGGCAACCATAGAAGAGCCACATGGGACCAGTCTCGATGCCCTGACGCTTCATCCAAGCACGCTCTTGAGAGAAGGCGCGGAAGGGAGCAAGACCAGTACCAAGACCAGCCATGATCATAGGTGTCATCGGGCTCTCAGGGAACTTGAAGCTACCAGAGGTGATAGTAGCGGTAGTCTTTTGACCGGGGACGATACGCTGGATGTAATCGGTAGCAGTACCAGTCCTCCTCGCACCAGATGGAGTGGTCCAGTTAACAATCACAACAGCAAGCTCGATGGCCTTAGGACCAACGAACCTCGGGGAACTAGCAATGGAATAGAGCCTAGGCTTGGTGCAAGGAATGAGAGTGATCAGCTGATCAAGAGAAGGACGAGCACTGGTGTACTTGTTGAGAACATCAGCGAAGGTCACAGTCTCAGCAGCGAGCTTGGTGTACATATCACGACCCTTGGTATCATCGGAGTCGCCGATCAACGCTAACTCAGCCTTCTCCTTGGGATCCTCAGCAAACTTAGACAGAGACTTGTAGAAAGCCCTGTTGGGACGACCGAAGATATCCAAAGACTCCTCAAAGAGCTGTGAGATGGTACGAGGACGGAGAGCAGCAGCACGCTTGCGAGCATCAATGTTCTCGGACACAGGGGTGATCTTGACCATCTCCGTGGGGTTGAGACCATAAGACTGAAGGAAGGCACTAACTCTGCCAGCTTCGTTCATGGGGTGGATGTTGAGGACATCACCAAGAAGGTAGGGAAGATCCTGACCATCCTCCAATTCGAAGCGCAAATGACGAATATCCCTCTCGTAGTCGCTGGGGGTAAGACGATCGTTCTTCGTCAAACCAAGCTGAATAGTTTGAGGAGGCATGATCCTCTCGTAAGGAGCAACCACGGCTTCGTCAGAGTCGAGCTCACGGACCTCGAACTGAGAGTCGGGAATGGATCCGTCATCAACAGGCTCAGGAGCATTCACAGACTTCCAGTAACTCGGCATCCAATCCTCGAAGGCAGTCTCATACTTGTCATCATCCTGATCGTTACCAAGACCGATAGCAACAGTTCTCTCACCGCCCAACTGAGCGAACAGATCGTCGATTCTCTTGCCAGCAGTGCAGAAGTGATGATAACTTGAATCACCCAAGGCGAAGACGCTGTATTGGACACCGTCCAACAAATGAGCATTGGAGTTGTCCTTAACAGCAGATTGCAATTGCGAAGTGAAGTCAAGAGCAGTCCTAGGAGTGGTACCCTCGCCAGTGGTAGAGCAGAGGACCATAAGGTTCTTGTTTTCAGGGAGTTCGCTGACGTCCATCTCATCACACTGCATCACCTTCACAGCATAACCACGCTGACGGGCCAACTCAGCAACACGATAAGACAAGGCCTCGGCAGTACCGGTCTCGGTACCATATAGAAGAGTCAGCGGCACACCATCAGAGATGTTACTATCCTGACCCAAGGCAGCCCACCTTTGGTACTTGCTGTAACGTTCACGGACCCAAGCGTCAAGCTGAGAACTGTACTGCTTGTACAAATCAGCATCACGCTTCTTCAAAGCACCGAAACGCATCTCGTTGCTGATAACGGCATCCACATTCTTAGTAAGCCTCTTAGTATCAAGAACGAAGGGGTTCTTGCCCAACCTCTTTAACATCGGGTTGTAACGGTATAGCGGGAAGTAGCCAGAAGCAGCAACGGTTGCCTGATGCTGCATAGTGTGAGTCATACCATCAAGATTCTTATGCTCAATGCAGGGAGAATAGGCGACGATAACAGAACAACCATCGTAATCCTCAGCCTCAGAGAAAGCCTTCAAGGTCTGCTGATAGTTGGCGCCCATGGAAACACTGGCGACGTACACAGTACCATAGTCCATGGCCATCTCCGCCAAGTTCTTCTTCTCGACATCGTGACCCATAGTAGCGAACTTGGCAACAGCACCAATGGGAGTAGCCTTGGACTTCTGACCACCAGTGTTGGAGTAGGCCTCAGTATCCAAAACCAGAACGTTCAAATCCTGACCGGAAGCAATGACGTGATCGAGTCCACCGTAGCCGATATCATAACCCCAACCATCACCACCGATGATCCAGTTAGAGATCTTAGGGAGCAAGTCGGACACGTCCAAGATATCCTGAATAGCAGGATCCTTGCTAGCCTCAGCCTTCAGAAGAGGTGGAAGGGACTTGGAAAGAGCGGCGCAAACCGCAGGATTCCTGAAGTTCTCAACCCACTCGTTCAACTGAGTGTACAACTCAGGCGAGAGAGGAGTATCCCTGCCCTCGAGGAGCATCTCCTGAACACGGACCTTAAGAGCCTTACGGCGAACGGCAGTGGTCACAGCCATACCCATACCGTACTCGGCAGCATCTTCGAACAGACTGTTAGCCCAGGCAGGACCAGTACCATCACGCCTCGCGGCGAAAGGAGTAGAGCCGTAAGGAGCACCCCAGATACTAGAGCAACCAGTGGCGTTAGCAATCATCATGCGGTCACCGAACATTTGGGTAAGAAGGCGAACATAAGGAGTTTCACCACAACCAGCGCAGGCACCGTGGAACTCTAGCAGAGGCTGATAGAACTGACTACCCTTGAGGGTGGTATTATCGAACCTCGAGGAGCGATCGGGAAGGCTCACAGCATACTCCCAGTTCTGAGACTCGGCCTCCTTGAAATCACTCAAATGCTCCATTCTCAGAGCATCGTCAGGGCAGGCGTTGACGCAGACTTCACAGCCAGTGCAATCCAAGGGAGAGACCTGAATCCTGTAATGAAGACCGGCAACCTCGGCACCACCCTTGGCCTTGCGAGTATCGAAAGTGCTCGGCTTGGCATCATCCTCAGCTTGAGACAACAAGAAGGGTCTGATGCAAGCATGAGGGCACGACATAGCGCAGATATTGCAGTGAGTGCACTTGTCCATATCCACAATAGGGATCATCAGAGCAACGCCACGCTTCTCGACCTTAGCGGTTCCAAGAGGGACCTTACCGCCAACAAGCTCATCATTGGCGAAAGCACTAACCGGAATATCATCACCTTGGAGAAGAGCAATAGGACCCTGAATACTCTGAGTAAAGCTCGGCTTGTTGATAGCACTCTTATCCTTAGCCAAGTTACCAAGAGCGTTATGGTAGGTTTGCTCATAATGGAGCATACTGTCCGAAAGATTCTTCCACTCAGCGGGAACCTTGATCTCAGTGATTGCATCAAGAGCCTTGTCAATCATCTCGTAGTTCTTCTGGACAACAGCCTCACCACGATGACCATAACTCTTCCTAATGGTATTCTTGTACAAACCAATGCACTCCTTGAAGTCCATCACGTTAGCCAGCTTGAAGAAAGCGGACTGCATAACAACATTGATCATACGGCCCATACCGCACTCCTGAGCAACCTTGAAGGCATCGACGTTGAAGACCTTAGCATTCTTATCAGCGAGGGACTTACGAACACCAGCGGGGACGTGCTTGTTCCACTCTTCCACCGTAGTGAAAGGTGAGTTCAAGCAGAAGGTACCATTGTCCTTGAGATGTTCGGTCATACGATACATGTCCAAGTAGGTGGGGTTATGGCATCCGACATAATCAGCCTTGTTGACGGAATAATAGGACTTGATAGGCTCAGGACCAAACCTCAGATGAGACATAGTCAAACCACCAGCCTTCTGTGAACCATAAGCGAAGTATGCCTGGACATAGAGGTCGGTGTTATCACCAATGATCTTGGTGGCGTTCTTGTTGGCACCAACAGTACCATCTGAACCATAGCCGTAGATGAGGCACTCAACGGTCTTAGGGTGAGACACGTTGATCTCATCAGTAAGAGGAAGAGACCTGTGAGTCACATCATCCTCGATCCCCACAGAGAAGTGATCCTTGGGGTATTGAGCATAAAGATTGTCAGCAACAGCGGCAACACACTTGGGAGTGAACTCCTTCTGTCCGAGACCCCAACGGCCACCGATCACCTTGATGTTTGAGCGGTTAGACTCCTGAATAGTACTGGCAACATCCAAGTAAAGAGGCTCTCCAAGGGAACCAGGCTCCTTAGTCCTATCAAGGACGGCAATGCGCTTAACAGACTGGGGCAACGCCTTGAGGAAGTCTTCAGCAGACCAAGGACGATAAAGACGGGGCTTCAATACACCGACCTTCTTGCCTTGCGAGTTGACGAATGGTAGGGACTCTTCGATAACACTAGCACCAGAACCCAGGATGACAATTGCAGCCTCAGCATCTTTCGGGCCAGTCCACTGGAAGAGATCGTAATGACGACCAGTAACAGCGCCAACACGATCCATCTCCTCCTTAACGATCTCAGGCGTCTTGTCGTAGAAAGCGTTAGAAGCCTCAAACTGTTGGAAGTAAACATCAGGGTTCTCGTTAGTGCCACGGACATAAGGGCGAGTGGGGTTGAGGGCTCTAGCACGATGAGCATTTAGTGCCTTCCTATCAATCATCCTTCTCATTTGATTGTAGGGCAGAGTATCAACCTTCTCAATGCAATGGGACAAGCGGAAACCATCAAAGAAACTAACGAATGGCACTCTAGCTCTGAGAGTAGCCAAGTGAGATACGAGAGCCATATCATGGCACTCCTGGACAGTATCGGCATCAATCATGGCGAAACCGGTCTGACGAACAGCCATGACATCCTGATGGTCACCAAAAATGGATAAGGCCTGACCAGCAACAGCACGTGCGGCCACATGCATAACGCAAGGGAGAAGTTCACCAGCTATTTTGTACATGTTGGGAACCATAAGGAGGAGACCTTGACTGGCAGTATAAGTAGTCGCCAACGAACCAGCAGCCAAAGCACCGTGAAGGGCACCGGCAGCACCAGCTTCGGACTGCATCTGAGTGATCTTGGGAACATCACCAAAAGCATTCTTAACACCGAGCGCTGACCACTGCTCAGCGAGCTCGGCAGCAGGGGACGAGGGCGTAATGGGGTAGATGTAGGCGGTATCCATCATAGCATAGGACACATGGCACACAGCAGTGCAACCATCCATGGTCTGCCACTGACCGCCACTGGGGGAAGCCTTCCCAGCAAAATGCCTCGAGCTACCAGTAATGGCACCAGCCTGGGCGGGTATAGCAAGACTACGAGCAGTTACCGCAAGAGAGCGGCCATGATTTAAAGTCGACAACATTAGCAAAACAGGATATCAAAAACTAAAACGGAATAGTACGAAAGACATCGTAGAACATACGATTATCTGACTTTCTACAACATGACAAGTACGTTACGACTGAGCCCAGAAAGTCTTCAACTAATCTTTGTGTTAGCTGAAAGCTACTTGTCCCGTAAACTCGTATCTTTGGTCGACACAACGACGACAGAACACTTTTCTTAGCTGATAGTCTTCACCACATCAAGGACAAGGGGATACTATGAACTGACTCATGCTCAATGATTTCATATAAAAGGGACAAGTGGTAAGTGTCCTCGATCTACAACTCTCATCAGTTCTACATCGCAAACACGCGCTCATTTCGCATTGAGTAAAACCGATTCCATCGGGTGGGGCGCCTTTGCCACTACCAAGAGATGTGCCATCAGACAATCAACTTCGCGAGAGCACCCGATACGGAGATCAACTTCGTTATCACGACCCAAGCAACTTCCATGTCCACGAGTTGTGAGGATTAATTTCGCTGTTAGTGAGCCCGAGTCCGCTTGCGGCAGATATACCAGTCCAGAGCTCCACAATACGGCGTGACTGCTGCCGTCTACTGGAGGTGAGACACCTTGTGAATCGGAGTGAGCTGAGCACCTTAGATTTCCGCGATGGTTACAGAAACGCCGGTTTTGACTACAAACCAATGACATGGTACGAGCGACATGATTGAACATACGGTTATCTAACCTCCTATAACATGAGGCCTGATCCTCCAGAGTCTTGAACCAGTGATCTTCGTGCTAGCTGAAGGACACTTGCCTCGTGAAATCTTCTGTCGACACCACAATAAGAGAAATACATGCTTAGCAGGTATTCCGGCCCTCACTAACATCAAGGAGATATCATCAATCGACGTTGTAAGGTTCGAAGTATGTTCGCGCTCGATGAATTCATATAAAAGAGACAAGTGCTCAGTGTACTCTACTTTTAACTTCTATCAGTTCTGCATCACAACCGCTACACCTTTTGAAGGCCTATTGTTCATCCAGTGGAGTCTATTCTAGCCGGCGGGGCGCCTATGCCACTACCACAAGATATGCCATGAGACAACCAGCGTCGCGAGGGCACTTAATAGGGGGATCAACCTTCTCTGCACGACCAAAGAAACTTCAATTTCGACGAATTGTAGCAATCAATTTCGCTCGGGGCAGATATGCCACAGCTAAACCGGCGGCTATGTTGCATCCATCATGGAAATTTAATAGGTTCAGCTCCCTCAGACTCACAAGGCTTCTCGCCTCCAGTAGACAGCAGCAATCACACCGCGTTGAATTTCTGAGGTGGCATATCTGCCCCAAGCAAAATCCATCTCACTAACACCGGAGTTATTTTCTACAAATTGAAGTTACTTTTGTCGTACACACAAAGTTGATCTTCCTATCGCGTGCTCCCATAAAACTGGGTGTACTAGAAGCATATCTTGGAGAGATGGAATGGGCGCGCCGCCCGATGGGATCGATTTCACTAAAAGCGAAGTCAATTTTCGAAAAGACGGTCAAAACTCAACTGTGGAGAGATGAGCAGCAAATCAAGTCAATCCGATCTCGTTACACCTACAAAATCACGATCGACTCCCAAGATTAACTTATTCGCGGAAACTAATGTAGGTATCTATGATGACATATACGAGTCTTCGTTCTAGAAACCCAACCGGCCCAATAGAATGTACTAATCAGCACAACACAAGACCTTTCGTTTCGAGTAGAAAGTAGTAACATTCTGAGGAGAAACAGTGTGAAGAATCGCACACGAGATGATTATGTTAATCTATACAGCCCCAGACAATCCTCCAGCAAAGGGCAAAGTGACCCTGAACACCCGCGGAGTAGCATTTGAAGATGCTTGAAATATTCTGAAGCCACTTAACAGAGGCTGCGAACAACTGTGGACAAGTACGATAAAATGTACGTTATCAAACCGATTAAGGCAGAAAGATTTTGGAACTGGGATTATCTCCCAAATAATATTACACCGAGCTAATAAGCCTCTATTCTGCTCCTACATGTATCATGCATGGCGAAGCAAACCACACAAACACAGTTACATCGATAAGATGGCTCATGCTCGATACATTACAATCGTACTTAGTATACTTCAGGGCAGTAACGTCCTTCCTCAGCAAGCTTTTCGAACATCTCCTTAGCCTTCTCGATTGAGATACCTTCACCAGCAGCGATAGCACGGTAAATAGCGGTCTTAATGTCCAACTCGACTTGACCAGCCTGTCCGCAAAGATAGAAGTAACCACCCTTCTTGATGAGGTCCTCATAGACACGAGAGCTGTTATCATCGATCTTGTTCTGCACATAGACCTTCTCCTTCTGGTCACGCGAGAATGCGGGATGAAGCTCAGTGATGGCACCCTCCTCAACGAAGCTCTCGAGCTCGTTACCAAAGATGTAGTCCTTGTTCTGATGACGGCAACCATAGAAGAGCCACATGGGACCAGTCTCGATGCCTTGACGCTTCATCCAAGCACGCTCTTGAGAGAAGGCGCGGAAGGGAGCAAGACCAGTACCAAGACCAGCCATGATCATAGGTGTCATCGGGCTCTCAGGGAACTTGAAACTACCAGATGTAACGGTAGCGGTAACCTTGTAACCAGGAGCGATGCGCTGAATGTACTCCGTGGAAGTACCAGTTCTCTTGACACCAGAGGGAGTAGTCCAATTGAGAATCACAACAGCAAGCTCGATGGCCTTAGGACCAACGAACCTCGGGGAACTAGCAATGGAATAGAGCCTAGGCTTGGTGCAAGGGATGAGAGTGATCAACTGATCAAGAGAAGGACGAGCACTGGTGTACTTATTGAGAACATCAGCGAAGGTCACAGTCTCAGCAGCGAGCTTGGTGTACATATCACGACCCTTGGTATCATCGGAGTCGCCGATCAACGCCAACTCAGCCTTCTCCTTGGGATCCTCAGCGAACTTAGACAGAGACTTGTAGAAAGCCCTGTTGGGACGACCGAAGATATCCAAAGACTCCTCGAAGAGCTGTGAGATGGTACGAGGACGGAGAGCAGCAGCACGCTTGCGAGCATCAATATTCTCGGACACAGGGGTGATCTTGACCATCTCCGTGGGGTTGAGACCATAAGACTGAAGGAAGGCACTAACCCTGCCAGCCTCGTTCATGGGGTGAATGTTGAGGACATCACCAAGAAGGTAGGGAAGATCCTGACCATCCTCCAATTCGAAGCGCAAATGACGAATATCCCTCTCGTAGTCGCTGGGGGTAAGACGATCGTTCTTCGTCAAACCAAGCTGAATAGTTTGAGGAGGCATGATCCTCTCGTAAGGAGCAACCACGGCTTCGTCAGAGTCGAGCTCACGGACCTCGAACTGAGAGTCGGGAATGGATCCGTCATCAACAGGCTCAGGAGCATTCACAGACTTCCAGTAACTCGGCATCCAGTCCTCGAAGGCAGTCTCATACTTGTCATCATCCTGATCGTTACCAAGACCGATAGCAACAGTTCTCTCACCGCCCAACTGAGCGAACAGATCGTCGATTCTCTTGCCAGCAGTGCAGAAGTGATGATAACTTGAATCACCCAAGGCGAAGACGCTGTATTGGACACCGTCCAACAAATGAGCATTGGAGTTGTCCTTAACAGCAGATTGCAATTGCGAAGTGAAGTCAAGAGCAGTCCTAGGAGTGGTACCCTCCCCAGTGGTAGAACAGAGGACCATAAGGTTCTTATGCTCAGGGAGCTCGCTGACGTCCATCTCGTCACACTGCATCACCTTCACAGCATAACCACGCTGACGGGCCAACTCAGCAACACGATAAGACAAGGCCTCGGCAGTACCGGTCTCGGTACCATATAGAAGAGTCAGCGGCACACCCTCAGAGATCTCCTCTCCAGCGGCGGCCCATCCACGGTACTTCTGGTATCGAGCACCGACCCACTGAGTCATCTCCTTCATACAAGCATTGTACTTATCAGCATCACGCTTCTTCAGAGCACCGAAACGCATCTCATGAGTGATGACATCGTCAACGCTGAGAGTAAGCTTCTTAGTATCGAGAAGGAAGGGGTTCTTGCCCATGTGCTTCAAAGCTGGGTTGTAACGGAACAGAGGGAAGTAGCCAGAGTTGGCGACAGTGTACTGATGCTGCATAGTGTGACTCATACCATCGATATTCTTATGCTCAATGCAAGGTGCATATGCAACAACCAGAGAGGAGCCCTCATAAGCCTCAGCCTCAGAGAAAGCCTTCAAGGTCTGCTGATAGTTGGCGCCCATGGAAACACTGGCGACGTACACAGTGCCATAAGACATAGCCATCTCAGTGAGATTCTTCTTCTCGACATCGTGACCCATAGTGGCGAACTTGGCAACAGCACCAATAGGAGTGGACTTGGACTTCTGACCACCAGTGTTGGAGTAGGCCTCAGTATCCAAAACCAGAACGTTCAAATCCTGACCGGAAGCCAAGACATGATCGAGTCCACCGTAACCGATATCATAACTCCAGCCATCACCACCGATGATCCAGTTAGAGATCTTGGGGAGCAGGTCGGACATGCCAAGGAGCTCCTCGATAGCAGAATCGTTGCTAGCCTCAGCGGCAAGGAGCTTAGGAATGGACTTGGAGAGAGCATCGCAGACCTTGGGATTGCTGAAGTTCTCAACCCACTGGTTCAACTGAGTGTACAACTCAGGCGACATCGGACTATCCCTGCCCTCGAGGAGCATCTCCTGAACACGAGCCTTAAGAGCCTTACGACGAACGGCAGTGGTCACAGCCATACCCATACCGAACTCGGCGGCATCTTCGAACAGACTGTTAGCCCAGGCGGGACCACGTCCATCAGGAGTGGTAGCGTAAGGAGTAGAACCGTAAGGAGCACCCCAGATACTAGAGCAACCAGTGGCGTTAGCAATCATCATGCGGTCACCGAACATTTGGGTAAGAAGACGAACATAAGGAGTTTCACCACAACCAGCGCAGGCACCGTGGAACTCTAGCAGAGGCTGATGGAACTGACTACCCCTCAGAGAGGTGGTATCAAACCTCGCAGAGCGATCAGGAAGACCCATAGCATACTCCCAGTTCTTGCCTGAGGTCTCTATCACATCGGCCAAATGCTTCATAGAAAGAGCATCATCAGGGCAGGCGTTGACACAGACTTCACAACCAGTGCAGTCATAAGGAGAGACCTGGATCCTGTAGTGAAGACCGGCAACCTCGGCACCACCCTTGGCGGCTCTAGTATCAAAGGCAGCAGGCTTGTTATCAACCTCATACTGGGAGAGAAGGAATGGCCTGATGACAGCGTGAGGGCATGCCATGGAACAAGTATTGCACTGAGTGCACTTGTCCATATCAACCTCGGGCACCTCGAGAGCAACACCACGCTTCTCAACCTTAGAGGTTCCTAGAGGGACCTTACCGCCAACCAACTCATCAGAGGCGAAAGCACTGACAGGAATATCATCACCCTTGAGAAGAGCGATAGGGGCCTGAATATTCTTGGTGAACTCAGCGGTGTTCATATGGTATGCCTCGTCCTTAGCCAGCATTCCGATAGCGTTATCGTAGGTCTGCTCGTAGTTGAGCATGCGGTCAGAGAGATTCTTCCACTCAGCGGGAACGTTGATCTCAGTGATTGCATCAAGAGCCTTGTCAATCATCTCGTAGTTCTTCTGGACAACAGCCTCGCCACGATGACCATAACTCTTCCTAATGGTATTCTTGTACAGTTCGATACTCTCTTCAAAGCCCATAACCTTGGAGAGCTTGAAGAAGGCGGACTGCATAACAACATTGATCATACGGCCCATACCACACTCCTGAGCAACCTTGAAAGCATCGACGTTGAAGACCTTAGCATTCTTATCAGCGAGGGCCTTACGAACACCAGCGGGGACGTGCTTGTTCCACTCTTCCACTGAATCGAAAGGAGAGTTTAAGCAGAAGGTACCGCCCTGCTTAAGGTGCTCGGTCATACGATACATCTCGAGATAAGTGGGGTTATGGCATCCGACATAATCAGCGTGCTGAACTGAGTAATAGGACTTGATAGGCTCAGGACCAAACCTCAGATGAGACATAGTCAAACCACCAGCCTTCTGTGAACCATAAGCGAAGTATGCCTGGACATAGAGGTCGGTGTTATCACCAATGATCTTGGTAGCGTTCTTGTTGGCACCAACAGTACCATCTGAACCATAACCGTAGATGAGGCACTCAACGGTCTTGGGGTGAGACACGTTGATCTCATCAGTAAGAGGAAGAGACCGGTGAGTCACATCATCCTCGATCCCCACAGTGAAGTGATCCTTGGGGTATTGAGCATAAAGATTGTCAGCAACAGCAGCAACACACTTGGGAGTGAACTCCTTCTGTCCGAGACCCCAGCGGCCACCGATCACCTTGATGTTCGAGCGGTTAGACTCCTGAATAGTACTGGCAACATCCAAGTAAAGAGGCTCTCCAAGGGAACCAGGCTCCTTAGTCCTATCAAGGACGGCAATGCGCTTAACAGACTGGGGCAACGCCTTGAGGAAGTCTTCAGCAGACCAAGGACGATAGAGACGGGGCTTCAATACACCGACCTTCTTGCCCTGTGCGTTGAGAGTCGGCAAAGTCTCCTCAACCACACTAGCGCCAGAGCCAAGAACGACGATGGCAGTGTCGGCATCTTGAGGACCAGTCCACTGGAAGAGGTCATAGTGACGACCAGTAACAGCGCCAACCCGGTTCATCTCCTCCTTAACGATCTGGGGAACCCTATCATAGAATGCATTAGATGCTTCAAACTGCTGAAAATATACGTCAGGGTTCTGGTTAGTGCCGCGAACGTAGGGGCGATTGGGGTTAAGAGCACGGGAACGGTGGTCATTGAGGGCCTTCATGTCTATCAGCTTGCGCATGTCGTTGTAAGGCATGGTGTCAATCTTCTCGATACAGTGGGAAAGGCGGAAGCCATCGAAGAAATTGACGAAGGGCACACGAGCACGAAGGGTGGCCAAGTGGGCAATGAGAGCCATATCGTGCGACTCCTGCACAGTGTCAGAGTTGATCATGGCGAAACCGGTCTGACGAACGGCCATGACATCCTGATGATCACCGAAAATGGACAGGGACTGACCAGCAAGGGCTCTGGCGGCCACATGCATAACGCAAGGGAGAAGTTCACCAGCTATTTTGTACATGTTGGGAACCATAAGGAGGAGACCTTGACTGGCAGTATAAGTAGTCGCCAACGAACCAGCAGCCAAAGCACCGTGAAGGGCACCAGCAGCACCAGCTTCGGACTGCATCTGCGTGATCTTCACAACATCGCCGAAGGCATTCTTAACTCCGAGCTCTGACCACTGCTCAGCGAGCTCAGCAGCAGGGGACGAGGGAGTAATAGGGAAGATGTAGGAGGTATCCGTCATAGCATAGGACACATGACAGGTCGCAGTGCAGCCATCAACAGCCTGCCACTGACCTCCACCTGAAAGAAACAACACAGATCAGACAGGAGTCAAGGAACTCGAAGACTAGCACAGGTATCACTCTACTCACGAGCTCAAATTACTTGGTGTAGTTTTTCCAGCGAAGTGCCTGGAGGCGGTTGCAGCTACGGCACTCTGGGACGGTCTGATGGCACTGCGGGCTGCCATCGCCGCAGAACGACTATGATTCATAGTCGACAGCATTGCTTTACAAAGGGAATGCCAACTGATAGTAACAGTAGCGGTAAGTATCGCACTCCTCTCGGTGTACCCTCGTACCGATAGATTCGCATGAAGAACAAACGAACTCCATCCCTAACCCTAACGGCACAGCTTCTTAGCTAACACACAAAAGGAGACAGTTCCCTACAACCACATCGAATATTTTCTGATGTATACCTCTCCTTTCTGAATCTCTTGACTTGCTGTCTTCGTCCATCTTAACTTGAATACTCCTATACTCTTTACGGTTCACCCAGGCGGGTTACTTACAACACAACAGCAAATACCCCCACTTTGTTAGCTCTTCGGGGAATGGGAAATATGTCACTTTAACGGAGTAAAACGAAATATCAACACATAATACAAACAAGTCCATGAGCATACACCAAATGTGAGGCAGTATATGCTGACAAATTCCCCGGCTTCTTTAGCGGAAGATACTCACAGCTTTAAGATTCACAGCGTCAACACAAAATGTGTGTAAAATTTCCCGCCGTCACAACGAAGAAAGTGCGCATCTCCATACCGTGAAATCGTTTGAGTCATGACCCAATGTATTCGGTGGTTGGGTGTGCGCACTTGGATAGGATGAAGTTCATAAGTAATCAACAACCGAACCGTCAAGACTTTTGATACCCCTCAAACTGAATCCAGCACCAAATTCCTGACGCTGGCACTAAACGCCCTAAAATGCCAGTCTAACAGGGAGAGCGCGCGACTTTCATGCGGATGACCCAGGTTCAAATCCCAACAAGATTAAAATTTTCAATATGTATCTTCTGGAATTAAATATTGATGTCTCTGTCAGTCAAGTGATACGTACGTCTACTATTATTCGTTAGTCGGCTTACTGGAGGTTTTGCTTTGCGTTAGTTAGACGCTTTGTCCGACATTTACGAGTATTATCAAGTTCCGTACTGGGACAATATTCGCCTTCTGTAGTTTAGAGTCTCTCTTCCGACACCTTGAAACACTTCGCTAAACGCAACAATCAACAAATTCAGATGGGGTCACTGTAACATGGATAGAAACTACGAGCGAACATGCGGTTATGCGAGTTCAGCTATAATCACATAGGACGCTTTCTTCGATACATGGGTGAGTTCAGCGGCTCGACTTCAACTGCCAGTAAGAGAGTGTTTATTAGCAGAAGCCCGCGTCCCACATACTCCTGGCACCCAGGACCTGGAGTACGTTACTTTGCAGGAGATAAACTGGCATTCACAATTCATACCTAAATATAATGATCGGCTGATTGCCTCTCACAAACAATCTTAAATGGTGAAACACCTGTCGGGATTGCCAGTCAGGAAGGTACTTCAACATGATTGAAACACCGTCGAGCCAGCAGTCCTCATTGGATCAATCGAGTGAGACATGAGCCGGGAGCAGACAGTCTGTCCGCCAGAGACCATCTTGTTAGCTTTGCCATAATCGTCAAAATGCAAACACGTGCCGTTGCCGGAAAGACGCTTCAGAAACCAGAGAGATATCGTCAAGAACAGCCGGAAGCAGATCCGAACACGAAGGCGATGAAGGTGAAAGCGGAGACCAAGGGGAAAGCCAAGGTGAAGGCGAAGGCCAAACCAACACCCAAGGGTAAATACTTCACCTGTCTTTCAGAGTTCACCTCTCTCAGGTGTTTCATATGTAAATATAAGAAAGCCTGAACCAGCAGCAGATGCTGGCGTTACCAGTAGAATGAGAAGCCTTACCTCCATCATCGACGAGGTCGCTACATCTGCTAAACGTGCTAAGAGCATGAAGCAACTCTCGGTGTCAACTTGACACTGTCAAGTAAAGCACCGACGGCTACATCTAGCCTGTCCAAATCGATTAACCATCGTTCCAACATTACCCCAATTGTGGAGACACAAGTCGTTACCGAACCGGTTCCATATCTTCCTTTACCTGCTTCATCATCAAGTTACGTTGAGAAGATTACTCTCCCGAACGATTCGACTTCGAATCCATTGGGCGGGATGAGCCATACCGTCTTGGCTCCTCCATCAGTTGAGTCTACAGGTCTGAGGCAGAAGAGAAACGGGAGGCATGCAAGCAATGGCCATGCATCGACAACGTTACTTAGTGAAGTCCCTTCTGCTATTACTGGCAAAAATCGTTCGGAACAAACCGTTAATGGCTTTGGAGAGGTCTGCATACCAAAACCTGTCATAGGAGAGGAGGTAAACGGGCATGAGCAGTGACTTCTGATATGTGTGCTTCAGGTTTCTCAACTCTCTCCCAATTCAATACGCCCAAGGCATAACTCCTACCCAGTACGATGATTCTCCCTGTAGACTTACTAATGCTGATGACATCACCTGAGCAGTTACACCAGGTATCTATAATCACATCATAGTCCACCCTTCGGAAGACACAAGTAGGATATACACTATCTCAAAGTCATTGACAGTGCTGGAATATGTGTTCGCGTTTCTCAGCAGAGCTTAGAAAAGCGCGCACCTTTTATACAAGTTTACATACGAATTTTGCTACAAGTGTGCAGGAAAACAATAAGAATTTCCCAACATTTCCTCAGATTTTCTCTAATATTACTAACACATGTAGTTGACCATGTGCATATTCTCCCACACTGGTCATTGCTGAGTCATAGAACACTGAGACTAATCCCCGAATATCCGGCTCGATCGAGCCGACTGGCTAAAAACCACAAACACGGTGAAATTTGATCGTTAAGAGACCTGAAAACCGTGTGTACTTATTAGTTATTAATCAATGATTACGCTAATTTCAGGGTATCTATTTTATTCACTGGCAACCCCAGTATGGGATCACTTGACATCCAGAAAAATTTTCTTGGGAATGTAGAGAAGTGGTAATTTCCCGCTCCCTCACTCATCGGACGCTCCTCCAACCAATGCAGCAGACCCGAACAAACTCATCCAGCACCCCTCTAACTCTCGCAATCCTCCACAATCAGCGCTTTTGCCACAAAACCAACCGCACAGGTTAAAGTCGCCTATGTGTGTCTGACACGCACAAGTTGTGCGGCACAATCGTATACACGAATTTCCTACACTTTTGCTCAACATATGATTCACAGACTGGCCCCGATTGCACCGGGTTCACAGTTTCGCCGCCGTAGACAATAGTAGTAGTAGGTTGCCGTACTTAAGTTTAGTAGCTACGTAGGAACCAACCAACACATCTTACTATAACAATATACTAGTCAATGACTAGGTTTTGTTTCACTTGTCTAGGAGGATGACTAGCAGT